AGCGGAAGTGGAAGTGGGCTGGGGCGAAGCGCCGCGATGCAAGTTGCACTGGCCCCAAGGGCGGCCGTTATAAATTGCTTGGGAGGTTCCTTTGTGACTTCCGGAGGTGCCCGCCGCAACCTACGTTTCTTTCATGCAGTTTCCTGGTTCGTTCTTGCCACTCGTATTCAATGCTTTAGAAGTAACAGCAGCTCAGGTAAGAACTTTATTTTGGTTTAATAATGCAAAGCAATTAAATAACATAAGTAATTCATGGATACAAAGTTATTCACACATTCACTTTAATTAATTACTGAAAACAGTATTCAGAGATTCGAAATGTAAATGAATATTGATTTTTATAATTTACACAACTCTCAATGCAGGTGCTCACTTTTGCAAACTCGTGGTATAAATCATAAGGTTTAATCTTACATTTTAGGCAAAAATCAGCTGTTCCCAAATCTACAAAGTATCAACATAATTTTGAACTCACATTTGAAAGAGAACTTCAGTCTTCATTGCAGAACTTGAATGTGGTTCACTCCTCATTGCTCTACAACAGGGATTCCCATTTTTTTCTTGCATCAATCCCTTTTGAAATATGTTTCCTTCAGCGACTCTCTTAGATATTTCTACAACACATAGCTTATATAATGCTAACACAAATAATTAAACATAAATCATTTGAAAATAACAATTTCAAAAAGGGTATTTTAGTAAATATATGGGTTGTCACTAATCGGAGACGCAACAGATTCCATTACTGGGTTTGTATTATTCATTATTGAGCAATGGTAACAAAATATTGAGCATTTTTATTATGGAAAACTGACCTCACTTTTGTGCTGTGCGTATTGTAGAAAAACTTTTCTTGCGCGATAAGTATCATTCAGAATGCATAGCTATAATTTCTTTAGGTTAATAAACACCCTCACGAATGAGAGTAAATTCAAAAGTAGAGGAGCGAATTAGTGTTTTATTATTTCATGTTTTGTAATTGACGATTAATTAAAGACCGACTTGAGCAATTCCTTTTTATAATCAATGGGATCTTGGTTATACCGATAAGTCGAGGCTTCATATTTGGGTATTGACTGCCAGTCGACCCGTTAATCTGTATCGAACCCATTTCAAATTTCATTCTCTCCAAGCGATCAATCGAGTCCCAACGGTGGCAAATTTTTCGACAATAGCTCGTCAGCTATGTCGATTTCAGGTGCTGTCGGGAGGAGAATTCTGGGGGCCAGCTGCTCTGATCGGTAGTTTTCTGTGCTTTCTCCGATCAACACCAAGCGAATGCCGGAGCAATACCCTAACGATCGGACAACGGACCGCGCGCGATCTTTCCCAATTCTTCCTTGTCATATCCTCACCCCTTACAGTCTCTTACACTAACATACACTACACTACAACATATGTCGGGAGACCGGTCGGGAGCTTAGAGCTAGTCCCGGCTGCAGCGGTGCACAGCTGGTGGGAGATACCTGGTTAGGAACCATCGTGTGCAGTCGTCGGCACGGGGTGCAGCGGAGTACCCACAAAGAGCGCCTGACAATAGGCGTCTCCTCCTTCGACCCTCTCTGACGGACGAAGCACAGGTCCTTGGCAACCTCGACGAGGAAGAAGTTCCAATAATGGTATATGAAGACAAAATCAATTACCACCTAAGGACAGTGCTCAAGCAACAAGAGAGCTTTTTATTCCAGTATTCGTAATTGCAGTAGTTAAAAGTTTTGCGTATTGCGATTTTTCGCCATATTTTTAGTCAAACTTTCATTAGATTAGGAAATGGCCTATTAGTCAACGAAAATTTTACATTTATGCATTATGCTTTTACATCACGACTTGCAACATCCCGTAGTATAGTACCTTGCATGTGTCATGTGAGCATTAGGTAATTAAATGTACTAGTGAGCAGTAACGAAAGCTCTGCCAACCAGAGACCGTGTAGCCGGACAGCTATCACTCGACAGAAGTGAAGTCCACAATAGTCAAAAGTAGGTTTCCAAAACCTAATAAGAAAATCAAGAGAACGAACTCACAGACCCGGTGTTAACCAAATTACCAAGTCACAATACCACAAGGGGGCTTACCATCACAATAAGTGAAACGTTTTCACATCCATATACTTAATTATTGTTTTATTAATTTATTGTGTTAATTCAATACATTAAGTAATAACAACAACAAATTATTACTATTATTATTATTTAAGGTGAATCTGTGTACAATACGATGAGGCTGGTGCTTCTGGTGACGGCGCTGGTGACGGCGTTGTCAAGCGCTCGCTCAAGGGAGCTCCCAGCCTCCGGCCGATTGGTGAGTCATCTCACCGTTTTCAACGGTTTCCCAACCGTGCTGCGCGCATGTGTGCGTGGGTGCGCGCACGCACTAGTTGCTGTGAGACCAGGGTGTCGTCTTCTCCGAAAAGGTCATTTGTTCAACAGCTTGTAGGTGGGAGCGTTGCTGACAGTTTGTGTATGAGTATGTGTGCTCGCTCCTCCAAAAGTCTTCCGTTCACGGGCTGGGATGCCAAATTATCACTTGGCGTGTGTGTGATAATGGCAAGTGGCTCTCTGGTGACCTCCTGTCCCACCTGTCGAGGTCGAAGCACTGTTTATCGCGCGCGCGCGTGTGTGTATGTGTTTTGGCTGTAGCACGGTGAGTCATCTTCCCTGTTCAATAGTTGGGAGGACAAAAGGCTGTTTATCGCGCAAAAAGGGTGGGCAAACGCGTTTATGAAGACAGCGGAGCGGAGGGAGCGGTGCGAGGGATGCTGAGCGGGGGATGCGGAGCGGGGGATGCTGAGCGGGGGATGCTGAGCGG